TTTTTGTTTCAATTAAGATTTTTTTTTTGCAATTTGAAATTTTGTATTATTTAAAATTAAGCAATTTTTCTTTTAATGATTAGTATAACTTGAGTAAAATTGTATTTGCAATCATAAACGATCTACAACTGACGGTAGTTATTTTCTGTCTCTGCAACTGAAAGTTTTATTCGTTTATTATAATTAAAATGGATGGTAATTTTTCTTAATAACAGTTATAGCTGACGGTAATTTTCGTTTATGATAATTGCAACTGACTGTAGCTTTTGTAACTGTCAGTAATCAGCTTTTGTTAACAACTGACGGTAAATATTTGTAAAAAGTACATTTAATTTAAAGTAGTTTTTGTTTATGACAACTACAATTGACGGTTGTTTTCGTAACTGAATTCATGATATAACAACTGAACGGTATTTTTATAAGCAATTAAAACCGAAGGTAGATTTTACAACTGACGGTAGATTTTTTTTATAGTAGTTACATCTGCCGGTAATTTTTGTATTTTGTAATTAAAACCGAGGGTAACTTTTGTCCTTAGTACAACTGACGGTAGTTTTTGTTGCTTGTAATTGAATCATGGGTAAATTTTGTCAATTTTAGTTACTGACGACAGTAATTTTTTAAAGTACTTACAACTGCCGGTAATTTTTATAATTTGTAATTAAAACCGATGGTAACTTTTGTTCTTGGTACAACTGACGGTAGTTTTTATTGTTTGTAATTGAAATGAAGACAAAATTAACCAGTGGAAATTACAACTGCCGGTAATTTATATAATTTGTAATTAAAACCGAGTGTAATTTTTGTTCTTGGTACAACTGACGGTAGTTTTTATTGTTTGTAATTGAAATGAAGACAATATTAACCAGTGGAAATTACAACTGACGGTAGTTTTTATAGTAGTTACAACTGCCGGTAATTTTTATAATTTGTAATTAAAACCGATGGTAATTTTTGTTCTTGGTACAACTGACGGTAGTTTTTATTTTTTGTAATTGATATGAAGACAAAATTAACCAGTGGAAATCACAACTGACGGTATTTTTTATGATAGACACAACTGACGGTAGTTTTTGTTATTTATAATTGAACCGAGGGTAAATTTACCATTCGAAATTACTATTGACGGTAATTTTTATGATAGACACAACTGACGGTAGTTATTGTTATTTATAATTGAACCGAGGGTAAATTTTATCAGTAGAAATTACAACTGACGGTAGTTTTTATAGTAGTTACAACTGCCGGTAGTTTTTATAATAGTTACAACTAACGGTAGATTTTGTTATTTATAATTGAACACGAGGGTAAATTTACCATTTGAAATTACTACTGACGGTAATTTTTATGATAGACACAACTGACGGTAGTTATTGTTATTTATAATTGAACCGAGGGTAAATTTTATCAGTAGAAATCACAATTGACGGTAGTTTTTATTGTAGTTACAACTGCTGGTAATTTTTATATTGTGTAATTATAACAGAGGGTAATTTTTGTTCTTGATAAAAATGACGATAGTTTTTATTGTTTACAATTGAACCGAGTGAAAGTTATTTAGTTGTACAATTACAACTGACGGTAAAATATTTTTCATGCTAATTTTTTAGCACTAAAAAACAAAATATTCGCTTTTTAAAAATTCGAACTCGCAGATAACCATAAATATTACATAAATTGATATGCCTTTTTTAATATTACATCAGAATGATCGATATTTAAAATTGAATGTCATCGAAAACTCCATCTGATATTTAATAAATAAATAAATAAAGCTACTGATCTGAATCTAATCGATAAAAATTATTAAATATAGAAGAAAACAATTGCATTCTACTTCAAGAAAAATTCATGAACGTATAACACTGACCCATAATCGCAATAGTGACTTTCGATCAAGAAATATTACTGATTAGGAAATGAGAAGTGATTGTGTGTGTGTGCAATCTAAAAGTAAATTTCACGCCACGCGTTGCAATCTCTGTTTATATATGAACATGCTTATAATAATTCAAATCAGTTAGGAGTAAAGACATTATCCAAGTGCAGTATTTAAACTATTTTTTTTTTGTTTTTTAAACTTTAAAAATATTTTTGCGTTACTATCATTTTTTTTTCTTTTTTTAGTGATTGTTAATAAATATTTGTCCTTCAATATGTAGTCCTCTTATATACTTTAAGTTAGTGCGAGTAATAAAATATAAGTGGACAGGAAAATAGACGCAAAAAACCGGAATTTTAAATGGTATTATCAATTTCAAGAAGTTGACTGATAATTCAACTTCAAGTATCCTTAAACTACTGTTAATTTTTTATATAAGTTTTATAATTAATTTTTAATATTATTTATTTAATGCATAAATACAAATAAATTTAAAGAAAAAAAATAATAATAATTAATAATTTCTTATTTGAAAAAAAATATATTTGTCCCGTGTGAAAAAGAAAAAAAATGTCATTTAATCAAAAAATTTCTTTTTACGTCCCGATATTAATTTATTCATTTTAAACGAGTCAAGTAATAGGTGTTTTATAATTTCAGAAGTATAACTCTGAATTCAATTTCAGATTCTTTTACATCATAAGAGAAATCGAAAGCCACTATTTTCTTAGATCCGAGATGATATAAACGGAACAACATCAGCTCTGTGTGTGAGTCAGGCATCAAAAATTCATTCCAACCTTTTGCAAAAGATTACAAAAAAAAAAAAAAATAATAAAAATAAATAATTAATATGTTCAATGTACGTCAAAAAATTTTCTACAAAGAATGTGTTATAATTTAAAAATCAACATGACAATGCAACTGTTTGATAATATTTATCAGCTCATGAGAATTATTTATATACAGTATAATATGTATTATGTTGCCAAAGATTATTAGAAATTGACTTCATGGAAATTATTCATTGACACGCGATTTCTATTTTGAGAACATTCTCTCATTTTTGAATGTATATGATTCAATACTTAAATACAAATTTTATAGAATTTTTCTTTTTCTGTTTAATAGTCAAAATAAATATTTTATTAAAATTTAATTTTTAAAAGAGGAACAATAAAAAATTTTAAACAAAAAACAATTTATGTTTAGAAGAGAATTTTGTTTAAACAATTGTAACAATGATTTATTAATTTTTGTAAATTTAAAAAATTTCAGCATTATTTTTGTTTGTTTAAAAATTACATAAATTAATTGTAACAAAGGTAAATTATAAATATAAAATAATTACAACTGATAATAATAAAAATATTAATATGCAGTAATTTTCCTCAATGCTAGTTACAATGGACTAAACTTTAAAAAAACAATTTTTTAAATATTTTTTTCAATTTTTAAAATAACAAAACTATTATTGGAAAAATTTTTCCTCGTTAAAAATTATAGTTTAATAAAAACTTCTTTAATTAAAGTTATAATGTAATATGATAATAATTATATATATATATATATATGAGATATTAATTAATACGACAAAGCATGAGGGTGGAGGATATTTTAAAAAAAAGTCAACGCCCTTGACTCTGAAAGCTCTCTATACAAAATTAATTTTAAATTTTATGCACTTTATGAATTTTTTGTTCATTGAAGTGAATGGAATTTTTTTTTTAATTTCAATTGAAATATATTAAATACTTTTTTTGCAACTGTGAAGACAAAAAAAAATTAAGTATACTCATTAGCATAGTGAACTAAGTACATTTAATAATGAATATTTAAGAATATATTTCACTTGAAATATATTCATTTTCAATAATGGATATATAATATAGAATTTTGTGAAATAATTTTTCTTTACAACTTGAAACTAATATTCAAAAAAAAAAAAAAAAAGTTATTTAGGAATTTATCTTAATCCTTCGGGGATAGTATATTATTATATTCACTAATCTTTTCAATGCTTTATGGCAGACGACCGCTGCACATGTTCATTTCTTTTTCCTGCTGAGAAAGATATTTTTCCTTGGAATTTTAATTACATTGTTCCGAGTGAAAAAATTCTATCTTTCTTATTTAATAAACAAATTTTTTTTTTTATTTAAAAAATGTTTTAATATTTTTAAATTGAATTTTTATTTTTTTTTTAATTAATATCAATGTAAACAATAGTAAAATAATAATAATTATTATTTTCGTAATTAATTTGTTTAAAATGTAAACAATAAAACAATTCTGGACTTATTTATTTAAAGTAACTAAAAAATTAACTTAATTATTAGTTATAATTTAATAATAATTATAATTATTAATTTATAACTAATAATTAAGTTAATTTTTTAGTTACTTTAAATAAATAAGTCTAGAATTATTTTATTGTTTACATTTTAAACAAATTAATTACGAAAATAATAAACAAATAACAAAAATGGGTAAATAAACAAAGAAAAGAAAAATTCCAACAATTTTTGTTTTACGTATAAACAAAACGAAACGGTAAATAAAATACTAAATAGGGTTGCATAATTGGATGCCACAGAAATCGACCTAAAAAATACGTCCCTGATGTTTGAACACATACACATATAATCGAGTACAGACAAAACTGTCACTCGATAATTAACAAATTCCCAGAGAACACAAAACTTTCTATTTGAATCATAAATAAATCTCCATTTTCATCTCCAGGTCAATAAAACAGGACCCAAAAACAAATTTTCATGATAAAATAAAATTTTTATTTATGACAATTTAAGGGACGCCGCCTATTTTAACTATATATTATAAAACCTTGTGCAATTTTCGTCTATATCAAAAATTAAACAAGGATCAATTTTTACAAAAACAAATAATATTAATAAAAAATAATAATAAAAAAAAAAATTATCACAGAAGACCAAGAATTTGAAGTTCATTATGAGAATGATTTTAAATTCCTGACGACGCCCTAATTTTTGGAATAATATAACCTCAAAAAAAAAAAAAAAAATGGAGTACATTGAACAACATTATTAATATTTTGGGGTGTGAAAAATAATGACATTTGAAAATCATTACTAACCTGTTATTTTCCACATTGTTAGTTGACAAATCTCCTCCGTAACTCATTTTGTTTGACTAGGTAGTGATTTTAGTGAAAAAAAAATTTTCCCTTTGACAAAACACGAGATGCACTTACACACTTTTATTCTTACACAAAAGCACAATTTTTATTTTAAAAATGATATAAAAAAAAGGAGACGAATTCAATAAATACGGACTATTATTATTATTTTGTTTGTTTAAATGATGATGATGATATGAACATGTACGAACGGACAGTCGGGCATGGACTATCTCACGATCGTAGTTGCGTGGAAAGGTGACGTTGTGAAGTGAGCATCGTTTATATGAATCATGGCGGGGGGAGCAATGAATTAGTTGAAAGGAAGGGGGAAAGGGGAAGTTTATTTTCACCCGCTTTTTTGACCCCTTCAAATGTTGTACGTTGATGTTTCTAATCAAAAATTTTGATTAATTTTTTTGTAAAACAATTTTTTTTTAACTTGACTTTTAAAATTTGCAAAAACCGTGTATCATTTCGATTATTACTTTTTTATTCTTGAAAATGATTTGTTGAAATAAAAGAAAGAGGGGTTGGGGGGGTGTGAGAGGGGGTTAAAAAGCGCGAACATTCGAATCACAGGTCACGTGACATTCAATGAATTAATACAACAAATTTCAAATGTTTCCGGAAATGCCAGAGTCCCTACCCATAGAAGGTCATCACTTGTTATTGAAAACAAAAGAATAATTGATTGTTTATTCTTAACTTTTGTTAAACATTTTTATAAATTTATTTATTTTTCTTCTATTTTTCCCCACAATTTTTACTATCTAATAAATTATTATTTATAATAATAATAATATTAATAAATAATTAGAGACTATAAAAAACAGTAAACAATATAATAAAAAATAATAATTGTAAAAAATAAATAATTTACATATATAATATAATAATATATTATTTATAATAATATAATAATAAATTATTATATAATATATCAATAATAAATGTAAATTGCAAAAATTATTGTTGAGAAATAATTAATAATAAATAAATTTAAAAAAAAAAATAATAAAAATTAAAATAAATAATATTAAATTTACACATTTCACTAGTACACTTGTACTGAATAATTTCTTTTTTACATAAAAGTGGAGGGGGAAGTCATTATTAGTGGAAGTACTTAGTTATAAAAAGACAATGTTTAACGCGCATTTAATCAAAATATTTTTGACGCTTCGACAAAAATTAACCCATTTGTTTTTCTATAAATAAAAAAATTTTTAATCAATAAAAATATTTGATTAAGTTATTATTTATATGGTAATAATTATATTAATAAAAAAAATTTGACACAAATATTTTATTAATAATTGTTTAAAAATTTTGGAGAAATTTTTTTTTGTTAAATAATTTTTTTTTTATGAATAATAGGACCAGTTTCATATATGAACGACACGGCCCTGTCCACCCCCCATTAAATTCACGTGTCAGACCATAATCCGGTCTTGTGATTGGCTATCGGCGAACACGCCAGACCGGCGCTCTTTGTCGGTTTAGAATTGTTGCAGGTACGAGACAATGATTAACAACACGTGGAGTGTCGTGCGCATGTTGCATATAGATCCAGATGCACACGCAAGGGAAGAGTACGTTTGTTGAACTTGCATACTGAGTCATTTTGTTAAGAAAAAAACAAAAAAAAATTATTTAGTGAAATAGTAAATAGAAAAAAAAGGACAAACATTTTTTTTCTAATACACTAACATATTTATTTAATTCAACTAAAATTTGATTTGCTCCAAACAAATATTAACAATTTTTAAATATAATCATTTTTTCACTATATTTTTGTAATTTATTGAAAAAACGACTATTAAAAAAAATTGTTTATAAACTTAATATAAAAAAATTCATAAAACAAAATTACAAATACAATTATTACAATGAAATAATTTGCGTAACATTGATTTAATTATTAAAAAAAAAAAAATTATGAAAATTTACTGTTTATAAGCTTTCTTAGAAAATTTGCTTGTGGGGTTTTTTTTTTTTTTGAAATATAATTATTGTCTTTGAATTCTGGGGAAAAACTAAGTAACAAACATATTTGTTAATTCTTTCTGAAATTTGCAAATAGAATTTTTTCATATGAATAATATTTCCACTTTTTTTTTCTTTTTAAACAAGTAATTAAGAATGTATAAACGTGAATAATTCGCCGCCATTCACTTGGTGCGAATAAACTATAGTGAGGGAAAAAAATTATGAAAATAATTATTAATCCATTATAATGAAGTAAAATACGCAATGAACGCGTCATATTTGGAAAATTATACGTGTACAATAACAACAACAAAAGTCTGATACACTAATTATTTTTTATAAAAATTTAATAATAATTAAATAATTATCTACATTCTTGTAATCATAATGTACATATTAATTTTAAAAAATGTATAAAATTATGATTTTTGTATTTCACATTTAAAATTTTCAAAAACTGACATTAAATTCGTAATCAGCGACCCGAAAAACCCCCAAGTAAAAAAATTGAGGTGAATTCAGTTAATTTTAGATATTTCCGTCCGCCATATTGGATCCGCAATTTTGAATTTTAAAAAACCAATATCAAATTCGTATTCAGCGACCCCAAAAACCCCTATGTAAAAAGATTGAGGCGAATTGAGTCAATTTTATTATTTTTCCGTCCGCCATATTTGATCCGCCATTTTGAATTTTGAAAAACCGATATCAAATTCGTATTCAGCGACCCCAAAAACCCCTATGTAAAAAGATTGAGGCGAATTGAGTCAATTTTATAATTTTTCCTTCCGCCATATTTGATCCGCCATTTTGAATTTTGAAAAACCGATATCAAATTCGTATTCAGCGACCTCGAAAACCCCCAAGTAAAAAGATTAAGGCGAATTGAGGCAATTTTAATAATTTTCCGTCCGCCATATTTGATCCGTCATTTTGAATTTTGAAAAACCGATATCAAATTCGTATTCAGCGACCTCGAAAACACACAAGTTGAGAAATTGAGGCTAATTCCATCAATTTTTATATTTTCTGTCCGTCATTTTGAATTTTGCAAAACTTATTTGACATTAATTTTGCAAAATTCAAAATGGCGGATCCAATATGGCAGACAGAAAATATTAAAATTGAATGAATTGGCCTTAATTTTTCAACTTGTGGGTTTTTTGGGTCGCTGAATAAGAATATGATGTCAGTTTTTCAAAATTCAAAATGGCGGACGGAAAACAATAAAATTGCCTCAATTCGCCTTAATCTTTTAACTTGGGGGTTTTCGAGGTCGCTGAATACGAATTTGATGTCAGTTTTTCAAAATTCAAAATGGCAGATCCAATATGGCGGATTGAAAAATTTAAAAATTAGCTATATGTGACGCCGCACGAGAAAAGGTACCTATCCCCGAAATAACATTAGGCTTAGTTTTCCGTGCACTATACACGGAAAACTAAGCCTAATGTTATTTCGGGGATAGGTACCTTTTCTCGTGCGGCGTCACATATGTGAAACCAACGTTAATTGATTAGATATTATTAAATATAAAATTAAAATCATTATGGGAATAGTTATAAAATAGTAGAAAAAAATAAAAATACTAATATAACTTGAATTCAATTTAATTTAAATTCGTGAAACAAAGAACGAGAATTCAATCGATATCATGAGTTTTCTTGGGTTTCAATTTGTTTTGCATAATATATATAGTTTCGTCTCCAGGGGGTCGACCACAAGCAGATAGATTGCACTCGTTTTGCACAATATTCACAATCTATTGTTGGTATATTTTTTTAACAAAATTGATTGCCTCATTGTTCTTGCAGAAATATATATAAAAAAAAAAATGAAAAGATCAGTAAATAAAAAAATGTTTCCATTTATTTATTTAATAATAAAATTTCAGTTTCTTTAATGCAAATTTTTTTTTTCAAATAACATTAATTTATAAAAAAAGAATTAATTTATGCATTATACTTTTTTTTATTTCATTGACTATAGAATTTTTTTTGTTATTGTTTATGATCAAAAGAAATGTAATTTTAATTTTAGTTTAGTTTATTATTTTTGTTAATTTCATTTTGATTATTATAATTAAATTAAAATTAAAATTGAATGACCAGTCATTTTTTGTGCATGAGAATGAATTATGAAATAAAATTTAATTAACTCATTGTGATATTGATTATGTTGGACCAAATCCAAGAATGAATTTCCGCTCAATTGTAGGGAAGTTTCTCGTTCAGAATGCATATGAAAATAAAAGCTTTCTTTGTGCTCTAGAAATGCATCATACGTCTAATATAGGTTTATAAGCAATTCATTCTTAAAATAAATTTTATTATTTTATCACGTGGACAAAAATTTATTTCAACAGTGACTTGAAAGTAATTTGTTGAAATAATTTTTATCTAAAAAAATTAGCATAGAATAAAAATGTATATAAAATTATTTTTTTCCAATAATTATTAGAATTAAATAATTTTTTTTTATTCTATAACATAAAATATTTGTTATATTTTTTTATTATATATATATAATTTACAATTATTTATATTATTATTTTATTTTTATTAAGGTATAAAATAATATAACAAATATAATAATTATTATTTGAAAAATATGTATATTTTTTAATTAAATTTTACAATCACATAATAAAACATTGTATATCCTTAAAATTAAATAGCTTTTAAAAAATAAATTTTTTTTTTATGAAAAATTATAACTGACCTGACGTTTATCGTGAAAAGGTGACAACAGAGACCTCTCAAAATGAAGACATACACTGAAGTTAATAATTATCGTCGATAAAATAGAACGTTGTATAAAAAAAATTCTCTTCCGACTCTAAAAATAATTTCACATTTTTTTGGATTTAAATTATAAATAGAAATAAATTATTAATTATTAATAAATTTAACACGAAACATCAGTAATTAAATGTAAATAAAATAATATAATATTAATACTGAATTACTTAGATAAACCAAATCCAAGTTCATTAAAAAAAAATCTATATTGCCATTCGAGAGAATAAAAAAAAAACTCCTTATTAATTAATTAAGCACAACCATATTCAAGCCAAAGTGAATTTTTACTTTCTGATCTCTTTGGATACTTTGGTTTATTATCAATAATTTCCTTTTGATTTTCATCTTCATTTGAATTTCCATCTTCTGATTCATTTATTATATCAAATGCTCGATTATTGAATTGTTTTATTTTTTGAATTGCTGGTTCTATTTGCTGTTCATCTTCAGATGATGGAATTTTAAAATCAGACTGTAAAATAAAATCATAAAAATTTTTTTTCACTTGTATAACGAATAAAGTTATTTTTATCAAAAAATAAAATTATTTTTAAATAATATAATTAAAATGTTTTTTAACAATAAAAAAAAAAAAAAAAAATTCATTACTCACATCTGAAGGCGATCCAGAAATTTCAGTATCTTCATAAAAAGTAGAGCATTTGCGTCTACCTAGACTTCCAAAACTTCCCAGGGAAAAATAATCGCGAGGTCCTCGTTTGCCTGAAATTTATTTTTATCAAAATAAAAAATTAATACTAAATTTTATAAAATAATTTTATAAAATAATTTAATTAATAAATTTACCTCTTAGTAATCGTGGATCGAGTGTCATTGTACGATTTTTCATTTCATTTGTTACTTTGTTATCTGATTCTTTAATATTATCCTCCCAGGTGTTAGAATTTCGTCGACTCTAAAAATGTTTTATTATTATTTTAAATTTATTAATTTAAAATAAAATTCACTATATATGTATACATAAAAAATCAAAAAATAATGTTAATTTTTCTTTAAATTTTATAATTACCCTGTTAAACAAATCAGAACTGGCTTTCATCATTTTTGATACAAAGTTTGTTTTGCTGCTTTTTCTGTAATTAGAAAAAAATATTTATATCAATTTCATCAATTATTATTTGTATATTCAATAAATAGAAATAAATAATTTATAAAGCTAATAAAATCACTAATTTATTGTAAATAGAATTAATAAATTAATTACCCTTTATTATTATTATTATTGTTATTATTATTACATGTCGAAGGGGGAGCATTTTTGTAATATTCCATTATTTTATCTTCCAATTTTCTCACGTGACAATTCATCTGATTTATTGTATTTCTGAAAAATAATTGTTAAAAAAAATTATAGGTATTTTTATAAAAACAATTTTTTGAATTAAAGATAAATTAAAAAAAGAAAATAAATTGAAAAACAATTGTAACAAAAATAATTAATAATACTAACATGAAATTCTTTTTTTCCTGATAAAAATTATCCTTTTCCTCTAAAGTTTGCTCTAAAAAGTCTTTATTTTGAAGAGTAAGATCGTGTGTATAATTCATAAGTTTCTGTCGATCATTTTTTAATTGATCATTCATTTCCATTAGTTCCTGAATTAAAAAAAAAATAAAAAGTTTAAAACAAAATAAATAAACAAATTAATTAAAGATTTCTTACCTCACAACGTTGATTTATATTGTTTATCTTAAATTCCAAACTCAAACATCTTTGTTCTTTGGTTGATAATTCATCCTGCATATCAGTTACTTTAATTTTTAATTTATTTAATTCACCAACATTTTTCTCCTCCATTGATTTTTGCTGAACCATTAATAGTTTTGAATTTACGAACATATTTCTGAAATCCTCCTAATCAAAAATTTAATAACAAAAATTATTATTAAATTATTTAATTAATTTATTAATATTTGGAAAATAAAAAAAAAATTCTTTTATAATTTACCTTTAATTTAGCATGTTCTTTCTTGAGATTCTTGTAATTTCTTAATTCCGTATCTAAATTTTCTCGATTACTTTGTAAATTACTGTAATCCAATTTAAGACTCTCGTGTGATTCTTTAAGTAAATTTAATTCATTATTAACATCTTTAAGATTATTTTTCAAAATTTCCCTCTCATGTAAACGATTAACATAATCTTTACTGAGCTGATCGTGTTGAAATTCCAATGTAATTTGATCATCAAGTTCCTCTTGTTGTTTTTTTAATGAAATATGAAGTTGTTTATTTTCTTGTTTCACTAATTTATAATTGTGCTCCAAATGTGAATTTTGATGAACTAATCGCTCATATTTTTTACTCAATGATGCATATTTTGTTTCAATGTTCTTTTTCTCTTTTTCAATATCAACAACACCTTTTTGAGGACTTTTTTGAAATGATTTTTCCTCATTCATTGATTTAACAATTGACGAGAGACGTCGATTTTCTAATTCAAGTTTTCGTGCTTGTTTCTGTGCACTGCTTGTCAACTGATCTGATAATGATTTATTTGCAATGCCTATTATTTGATAAGGAGAAAAAGTTAAATTAATTATTATAATAACAATAAACAAAAAATTTAATTAATTAATTTTTTTTATATATTAAATTTTACTTTAAATTAATTATTTAAAATTAATTACCAGGCTCATCGGAATCATAAACCGATTCCATAATCGATGTATCTTTCATAGATTTCACTAAATATTGAAGTTGAATATTTTCCTCTTGAAGCTGTTGATATTTTTCTCTATCAGCTGTGCGCTCCTAATTATAATTGAAATCGAATTAAAATCGTTTCTCTTTATTTTAAAAAAATTACTTTAGAAAATTTCAAACATTTTAATGTAATTTTTAATAATTCAAAAAAAAAAAAAAAATTGCTTTTATTTAGTAAAAGTATTTTAATTACCGTAGTTATTTTTTCAACTTGTTGTTTACAATCTGCAATTTCTGTTTCAAGTTTTGGAATTTTCTCATTCAGTTTTCGCTGATATTTCAATTCATCTTCTAAAGTCTCTTTCGTCTCCAATAAAACTCTATATAAAAGGAGATTAATTTTATAGAAAAATTATTAGATTTTCAAATGAAATAAAATATGTAAAATTAAAAATATAAATAAATAAGAAAAATATATATAAAAAATGAAAAATACATAAAAAAATATTTTAAAAAATAATAAAAAATATTAAAAAATAAATATATAAAAATTAAAAAAATATATTAAAAAATTAAAAAATATATAATAATTTTTAAAATTATATTAAAAAATATTTTAAAAAATAAAAAAAAATATATAAAAATTTTAAAAACTATACAAAAAAATATAAAAAAATTTTTAAAATGTATAAAAAAATTTAAAAAATATTAAAAAATTAAAAAAAGTATATCAAAAATTAAAAAAGTATATCAAAAATTTTTAAAATACATTAAAAAATTAAAAAATATATTAAAAAATTTAAGAAATCATATAAAAAATATATTAAAAAATTAAAAAAAGCATATAAAAATTTTTAAAAATATTTTCATTAAAAAAATATATTTAAAAAAAAAATTACTTATTGTCTTCGCGAATTTCTTCGATGGTGGTTTTATAAAATTCAATATCATTCATTTTTTCCCGATAACGAGTAACTTCCATTTCGAGACGATCAACTTTCTCGGCTTTCTCAATGGCAGCATCCAATTCATCTCGATAAGATTTGGCAGTTCGAGCTTCCAGCATCAATTTTTCATTCTGGTAATTTATTTTCAAAAACTTGTGTAATTATTTCATTTTGTAAATAAAAGAATTTATTCTAATTCTTCACGATAAATTGAATAATGCAAAAACAAAACAAAAATACAGAAAACAAAATAAAATGTACAAAAATTATTTTGAAAATTTACCTCTTCATAAAGTTCTGCAATAAGAATTGTATTGTGTTCAACTTCTCCTTTACATTCCATTAAATATTCACATTTTTCCTCTCTAAAAAAAAAAAAAACGATATAAAAACAATTATTATAGAAAAAATTTGAATTAAAATTAAAATTTTAAAAATTAAATATTATAAATCTTTTTTTAAATTGCTTTTTGTTACTTACAATTCGTTCCTTAATTTTCTCACTTTAGATTTTAAATTGGCAACTTCATTACACGATTGATCTTCTTCATTTTCAAAATAACCGGTGGAATTTAATGCAGACTTACTAAAATAATCACTTTTCGATAGAATCATTGAATTATTGTGTACATCAAATTCTTTTAATTCAAATTTCTTCAATTTCTACAACAAAAAGAGAACATTATTTATATATATATATATATATATTTTTTTAATATTAAAATTTTTTTCGAAAATATTTTTTTTCTGTTACCTCGCGATATAAATTTCTTTCTTCAATCAAATTTTTCATTTGGGGAAATAAATCATTTGCATTAATATTCAACAATAATTCTTCATTAATCACAATTCTCTGATCCTCAGTCACCTGGAAAGAAAAATTTGGGTAATTGTTTATGGAAAAAAATTAATTAATTTGAAAAATTTAATTAAAATAAAATAAAAATGAAAAAAAAATAGAAAAAATACTTACCAATTTAATAAGATGGACAATTTGTTCTTGAATTGCTAAATCAAGATTTTTAATTTTCAAAATAAATGTTTCTTTCATTTGACATTGAATAGCGCAACCCAAAATTAAAAGAATTAAATGTTTCATATCTTCAACGTGTAATTCTGGTTTTTTTGCCAAACCAACAAGATTTGGTAATTTAACTATAATTTGACCCAATGTTTCTTGATAAAATTGTTGAATATTTTCCATAATATTTTCCAAATTTTTTAATCTCAATAACCATTCTTCATTGGCTTTTGTGATTTCATTATGAAAAGGTTCAGGACATCTAAAAATTTAATTAATTTAATTTAACACAAATTTTATTTAATAAATAAAAAACGTTTTTTTAAAACAATTTTTAATAAATATTAATAACTAATAATAATTCATAAATTTCTATATAAAAATAGTTATTTTAAAAAAAAAAATTCCACTTACATTTGAGTAAAGACATCATGAAGCAAAACTCCATCGACGAGATCATCATATGAGACCAACAAATTTGCATCTCTCAGACAACTTACAAACTGTCATAAAAAAATTTAATTATTATAATTTTTTTTCTTACATTATTATTCGTATTTTTTTTCATTTATCAAAAATAAATTTTGTTTTCTTGTTTTTTATTAAACTTAAATTACTTACCCAAGTGACTAAAGGTCCTGATAGAAATTCTTCAATTTCTAATGACATTTTTATTTTTTCGAATTGAAACACCGGCAAATCACAAATATACAATATGTAAAAATTCAATTATCACTTTTCATAATTAAAAGAAAATAAATTCATTTAAATTAAATTCTTAAATAAATAAATAAATAAATATGAACTAAAAACCGAATTTTTTTCTTCGGTCAAATTTTATTCTGTCAATGGTAATTGACTTATTTAAATGAACTATTTGACTGTAATAAGAGTAATAACCAATACTCTTTTTTTTGTAAAATTTGTTGTAAATTTTATTTTAAAAAAAAATTAATAACTTTTGTGTATAAAAATTGGAAAAAAATTGTTTTCTTTTGAGGGGGTTTGTAACTTCTCACTATACGGGGACTAATTTACAAATAAGTGTTGAGGTTGTAAGCACTGATCAGTATAGTCTGAGGTTTTCAAGACGACTAATAACTTTATGTACCTGGGTGACAAAAGGGACCTAACTTTTAAAATCTTTCCATCAATGTTTTCTGAATATTATTATTCACCAAAAACATGCAGAAATGAATATTAAATTATATATTCACTTACTTATCTTTCTTATATGTTTATTTTTTGGTATTCTTTTTTTTAGGCTTTAAAAAGCAAAATTTTAACAGTTCAATAACAAAAACACACTTTTTAGGAGAAAAAAAAAAACAAATAAAATGATAACAATAAAATTATTATTTAAAAAAAATCAAACTACTTAACTATCAGGGACGTATATAAAGGGAGATGTTTTGAGATCATCCCTTATCTAAAATAACAGAAAAAATAATGGAATTTCTATAAAAATTGTATTTTTTTTTTTTTTGTAAATTTCTAAATATTTTTCCTTATCTAAAATTATAAATTATAAAAATAAAATTAATGAATACTAATAATAAATAGTAAAAAAGTACTAAATAATTAAATAATAATTTCCGCTTTTCAAAATAATAATTAAAAAATAATTAAACCGAATAATTAAAAAATAAGTAGACTATATGTAATTAAGGAATATAAAAATTAATTTTATTTTCATATTAATAAAAATGTATTAACGTAAAAAAATATTATTTTTTTAATTTCAACTATTTTTAAATTTAAAATAAATAAAATATTAAAATAACAAACAGGCATGAACAAGTTTTAAGTACTGTAAAATTTTGTTCAAAATAAAATAAAATGGGTACACATAGAAAAATTTGTATTTCACTAAGGTATTAATGACTACCTGCTTCTAAGAAAATGATACCTCTCATTTTAAACCCAAACCAATTTCTAATCCCCATCATATTTCTTCTGTTTCTTCTATTGTATATTCCCCCATGTTAAGGTCAAGCAAATACTTTGCAGTTTCAAACAATATATATAATATACTCTCCTAGCACTAATTATTATTGTCACCTGTCCCCCCACCCTTTCTTTAAATTTTCTCTCCCCACCCTTTTTTTTCTCTTTACGACCATTCATTTCTATAGCAGTTTTGTCTGCAAAGTTAGTGTGTCAAGCGTTCACTGTGTCATTTAAAATTCATTCTTAAAAAAAAAAAACTGCAGGCAAAGAAAGAAAAAAAATTTAATTCTATTAATTTGTAAACCGTAACAAAAAAAAAAAACAAAACAATTTTGAGAGATTTTTCTTTTGCAGAAAAAGTGAAATTAATAAATTGTGACGCCGTATTATAAGGGCATTTTATATGCGCCATAGAAACAAAATTCTCTCTGAAAAAAAATTCAAATTCTAATAAGCATTATTTAAATAATTATTATTGTCAGAGATAAAAAAAAAAGTGAGTGATAATGAAAAAGTAGATTTTTTTTTTGCACAATAGAAAAAGAAAATTTGATAAAATATTTTTTTTTTTCAGACAAAGACAGGAGTCGACATCTGTGTTCTTATTACAAAAGCCACTTGAGGAAATTTTTGTGTCGATAAATTGTGGAACAGTTGGCTTTTAATATTTTACTAAGGTAAACAAATTTTAAAATAATTTTTAATATTATTTTTTAAAATTTGCCCCCTCATATTCTTTTTTAATTTATATTTGTTTAAATTAAATTAATGTACTTTCTAAATTTCAATTAGTGATAATTTGTTTACTAAATAAAATTAATAGAAATTTCCACTAATTTTTAGTAAAATATTTTTATTTGATTTAGTAATACTTTTTTTTTTACTTCAGTTTTATTCAAAAGCGACTAAAAATTAGTGGAAATTTTCACTTATTTTTTAGTAAAACTTTACTATTCGATAAAGTAATATTTTTTTCCCCTAAAGTTTTAATGAAAAATGACTAAAAATTAGTGAAAATTTTCACTAATTTAAATTTAGAGTGTAATTAAATTAATAAAAAAATATCTTCCTAAATAATAAACATGTTTTTAATATAGATGTAACATTTTTATTATTTTTTGTTACAGAACATTTAAAAGACTGAAAATTGATTAAAGAAATTTTCAAATCAATTATACAAAGATGCATTCTTGGATTCTTGGACGTTTTTTTTAAATATGAAAAATAATTTTTGATTAAATTATTAATATAATTTATTAAATTTTTCGATAAATCGATGGGATTCTTATCAACATATATGTTTATATACAATATATAATAATTTACGGTTTTTCGGTAAAACGATGGAAAATGATACAAAAGATTGTTACAATGGAGAAAATAAAAAAAAGAAAATAATTCTCTATGATCAAAAATGTAATAACCGTTTTGTTCAATATTATTTTGTGAAATATAAAATGTATTTATAAAAATTAAGAAATTTTGTTCTTTATAAATCCCATTTCCACGATAAATTAAAACTAAAATTGTTTATAACATTATTTATTTATTTAATAAGTTAACGGGACAATTATAATAAATCCATACATAAATGATCCATAGATGAGATCTATGGATCTATAATCATCAATGAATCTATAATCCATTATACTATGAATTAATTAATTATATATTAATCTATGATATATATTCTAGAGATCTATGGATCTAGAGATTTATGATCTAAAGATCTTTGAATCTATAGATTTATAAACTAGAGATCTATGGGTTCATGATTTAAAGATCTAGATATCAATGTATCTATGATCGAGAGATCTATAGATTTATGGATCTATAGATCTATGATCTAGAGATCTATAACCTACAGATCTATAATCTAGAGATCTATGATCTAGAGATCATTGATATAAAAATCTATGATTTATAAATCTATGATTTAGAGATCTATGGATCGATGATGTAAAGAGGTCAATGGATGTATGATCGAGAGATCTATGGATCTACGCTTTAGAGATCTAAATATCAATGGATCTATGATCAAGATATCTATAGATTTGTAGATCTATAGATCGATGATTTAGGTATCTATGATTTAGAGATCTATGGATCTATGATCTAGAGAACTATGGATCTATGATCGAGAGATCTAGAGATTTATGATCTAGAGATCTATGGATCTACGATTTAGAGATCTAGATATCAATGGATCTATGATTGAGAGATCTATGGATCTATGATTTAGAGATCTAAATATCAAGGGATCTATGATCAAGATATCTATAGATTTGTAGATCTATAGATCTATGATTTAGAGATCTAGATATCAATGGATCTATGATTTAGAGTTCTATGGATCTATGATCTGGAGAACTATGGATCTATGATCGAGAGATCTATAGATTTATGATCTAGAGATCTATGGATCTACGATTTAGAGATCTAGATATCAATGGATCTATGCTTTAGAGTTCTATGGATCTATGATCTAGAGATCGATGGATCTATGATCTAGAGATCGATGGATCTATGATCGAGAGATCTATAGATTTATGATCTAGAGATCTATGGAACTACGATTTAGAAATCTAGATATCAATGGATCTATGATCGAGAGATCTATAGATTTTTGAGCTAGAGATCTATGGATCTACGATTTAGAGATCTAGATATCAATGGATCTATGCTTTAGAGTTCTATGGATCTATGATCTAGAGATCGATGGATCTATGATCGAGAGATCTATAGATTTATGATCTAGAGATCTATGGAACTACGATTTAGAAATCTAGATATCAATGGATCTATGATCGAGAGATCTATAGATTTAGAGATTTATGATCTAGAGATTTATGATATATAGATCAGTGATCTATGGATCAGTGAATAAAAAATAAATTTCTGAATTAAACGTCACACAGGGATTTTTATTAAAATATTATATCGCTTCATAAATGGGGAATTTTTCTGATAATTTTGGTTTTTACTTAATTGAAAAAAAATCCCTGATTTCAAAGTCTAAATTCTCGGTTTTTCTGAAACTTAAAAAATTATTTCTTTCTATTTCCATTTGTTTGGCACTCTAAGATTCTTTGATGCTTATTATACATATATGTTATTTGCTATGTATATATGTGTTTTAGAATTGAGAGGAACATTATATATATTAGAGGATCTTTCACGTCTAGTATTGCGATGACCCCTTCCACAGACTCGTGTACTCTTTTATTACGACATTGCGACATGACGTAGGCACAGACACGCGATTGCTATCGTTCACCAGAGAGCTATAGGGTTATTCCTTTAGTTTGAGTTGTACCACCCGTCGGCGCGCCAACGCTTGCGCTCTCTTCTTCATCTTCTTCTTCTTATAGAAAAAGAAAAAAAAAAAGGAATAGAAAAAAAAAGTTGGCAAAAAACCACGAATAGTATTAGTGCGCCTAGCAAATGTCAACATACTCGCGAGCTTTTAAAATTCTTAATATACCTTTTGCCGGTTATAATCACATAGCTTTTCTTTCCTATTTTTATAATTAACACACATTTGAAAACGTTTTGAAAAAAAAAATCAAAATACGATACAGGAGATAGTGCAAAATTTAAAGTGACAAGTGCCTTATTTTAATAAAAGAAAAAAACTTAATTAACTTTTTCATCTTGAAGAAGAAAAAAAAAATCATAGAATATTTCTTGTGTCAACGATCTTCGAAGTGTTGCTCTTTAATTATTTTTTTTTCTCCCCATGTGTAACGGCAAAACTGACTCAAATGTGATTTGTTATTAAAATCAACCAACTATTCTGAAATTTTCTCTTCTAATTGTCTTCTAATTACAAATTTTCCAAACGATATGGCGTCTAACATAAAATACAACGGTGAGTTTTCACAAAAGGAAATAAAAATTCTCTTTTAAAAATTATTATTTTAAACATTTTTTATTACTTTACTAATATTAAAGAAATTTTATGATTAATTAAATAATTTTTTTTTTAAAGGACCCATTCCTAACGATTGTTAAAAAATAATTTAAAAAAAAATTGAAATACAAATTTTTAAAAATGATTTTTTCAATTATTATGAAAAACATAAGTGAATTGTCGTTTTCTATCGTTTGAATGTTATAAAAATGTTTCCAGAACATTATGCAATAGGCAAAAATAAAAAAAAATTCGTCGTTGATCGATGAAATTTAAAAATAAGAAAGGAATTATTATAAAAAATTTGTTTAATTAAATTTTCTATATTGAAAAAAATTAAACATCTTTTTTGAAAAATTATGTCCATTCATTATATTAAGCATATAGTTAATTAATATTTTACTTTTATTCTGTTTATTATTATTGCAATAACAGTATAATTAGAAATATATTATTAATAATAATAATAATTATTATTATTATTATAATTATTTTATTATTTAATAAAATTAATTAATAATTATATAATATTAATATTAATTATATAATATATAATATTAATAATATTAATTAATAATAATTATTATTATTATAATGATAATATAATAATAAATATAATAACAAATCTTCCGCTACCAATGTAAATAAACTACTACTTGTTCGTTTTGCAAATTAGTTCTCCAATTTAATTACGAAATTTGTTTCTCATGCCACAATGTAATATAGTTAAATTTTATTTTGAAAATCTCATTTAACATTGTCGTCAATTTATTTAGCAACACTGTTCTTTAATATTGCAATGTAAACAAAATATTTTTAGAAAATTTCAATTTAATTAAGAATTTTATATAGAAGAAAATTGTATATACTTTCTCGTCCCTTACATATATTCTAAATATAATGTCCTGGATTTCATAGTCTAAATATATTGTTCGTACTATCGTTGTATGTCCAGTGAAAATATGTATACCTATTATTAAAAAAAAATAAGTAAAAAAAAAAAAAAGAAAATTTGCCATCTCTTGCAAATAAATACATTGACGAAAATTTTTTATAAATATATCATTTAAATTCATAAATTCAAGCCAAAAGGAAAATGCTATTAATTTTAATAAATATACACTTTATACTAATAATAGAATTCTTCACTGAATCGTGATACACGTGTTGAGATTTCATAAATGTATATAGTATAGTGTATATACGAATAATTTTCAATTCTCTATAATATATCAAAGTCAAAATTTTTCGACAAAATAATTTAAAAAAAAAAATTTTTTTTTATTATTTATAAATTGATTTACATAACTTTTAAAAAAATTATTTAATTTTTCCAATATTCTGTTTTTATAAATGATCATAACTAATTAAATAAACATTATATTTAGGTCGAATGGGAAAAAAGATTTCAATGCTTGAATAAAAAATATCTGAATTTTCAAGTATATTGTCGAAGCAATATTGTAATTTTATTCAAATATTATAAAATAATCAGTACAGACGATAAATTTTTCTCTCAATTGTATTTAAATTTAAATTTCAGTATTTATCGGTTTTTTTTTTCCTTTTGTTATAACATCAATAACCCTGACAAAAAAGTTTCAAATTGAACGTTTAATCATATTATATAGTTTTGATAAGAATTATTTCAAGGCATTCCAAAACTTGTTTCCGAGACAATAAATTTTTATCTGAATTCTAAATTTTTAAAACTTAAATGAAAATTCTTTTTCAATTATTAGCAAAGTAATTTGTTTCATTTTAATGCTTAATTTCTATTCTTTTCAATCTTAAAAATTTAATTACGAATTAATCCGAAGCTAAATTAATGAAGGACTTATGGAGTATAACAATTTATCATCTGTTTTTAACTGAAAACTTTCCTCGAGTTCTAGAACCTTCATATCTGAAATTTTATTCGCCACTAATCGCTCATTTTTCAACGAGCCAAAAACCTTGGAGAGCATATATAAACTATTCTCTTTGCGCTGTGATTATTGAACAATTGAGAGAGAGAGAAAGAGATTCATTTCTCATTGACTAGATAATATTTTATTGTTATTTATACATTAATTCCTTCAATAAACGGAAGTTTATCGTTTGTATAACCAATTTTTTTTTCCTCATTCAGTCAATCTAATCTCTATATTTCATTGATATATTTAGATATTTCATATAATATACACTTGAAATATTAATCGAACTAATTTTCCAAATTATAGAGATTTAATTAACGCATTAAATATTATAATCAGTCATTTGTTAAAGATAAAGATTTCAATATGGATCAAAAGAGGAATATAAGAAAACTACAACAATTTCCTCTCAAGGGATTTTCAAGGGTGATTGTTGGAAACATATAAATATGGGGCATTCTTTCTCAACGGGAGAATTGCTCCCCCCAAAAATGGTTTGGGCGAAAAGAGTTCAGTTAGGTCTCAAATTTTAGGTATTTACGTCTATTTTGAAAAGCAAAGTGGCACTTTTTAAAATTCAAGATGGCGGATCTAATATGGCGGAAAATTAAAATAAAAATAGATTAAATTCACTTAAAATTTGTTACTCGCGAGTTTTTTGGGTCGCTGAATATGAATCTGAAGTCAATTTTGTTCCAGCAAGTCAGGATTTTTTCCTAACCTCAAAAAACATGTCGGATTTAATACAACAAGCAAATTTTTTTAAATAATCTCAAATTTGCTTAAACCCTGTTACTCAGGGGTTTTTGGGGTCGCTGATTTCGAATCTAGAGTCAGATTTTAAAAATTCAAAATGGCGGATCCAATATGGAGAACGAGTTTTTTAAAAACTATTGGATTCTTATGAAACTTGGTGGCTTTTCTTTTTCATATTCGTGCATTTTGTAATTTTTGTAATTGGTTTCTTTAGAATCCTCCGTGAAAAATAATGTTTCATTTGGTAGACATGCTACCAATTTTATTGTTTGTATAAAGTCCCCGTATTTATGTTGGGTAATTGATTACTAGCTTTAATATAGTCTTTGCCTAAACATCTTTCACAACTTCAAGATAATTCTTTTTGTTTGTAAACTACCAACAGAAAAAAAATTTTGATGAAATTTTAATTTCCTACAATGTTATAGGCCCTATAGTAAAAATGACTACCCTTAGCGTTTTTTTTCCTCAAGCTAGCAGAATTTGTTCTATTACCACTAAACTCGTGATTATTACGTCTATTATTATTACCCCCAAATGACCAGTTTCAAACATATATAGGCAAATTTTTTAAATTTCTGCAATATTAGATACACCATCTTTAATTTTTAAAAGAGCCAATATGCTTCTCATGACGATCTACCTTTTCAAATGTTGAAAATCTAACATCAGATTTATAATTAGCGACTCAAAAACCGTCAGATACTAAAAGTTTCATAAAAATTCAAGTTTTTTAAATTCTCGTCCGCTATATTGGATCCGCCATTTTGAATTTTCAAAAATCTATCTTCAGATTCGTAATTAGTGACCCTAAAACCCCTATATATCAAGTTTTTTAAAAATTCACCATTTTTTAAAAAACTCGTTCTCCATATTGGATCCGCCATTTTGAATTTTAAAAATTTGACTCTAGATTCGAAATCAGCGACCCCAAAAACCCCTGAGTAACATGGTTTAAGCAAATTCGAGATTATTTAAAAAAATTTGCTTCTTGTATTAAATCCGACATGTTTTTTGAGGTTAGGAAAAAATCCTGACTTGCTGGAACAAAATTGACTTCAGATTCATATTCAGCGACCCAAAAAACTCGCGAGTAACAAATTTTAAGTGAATTTAATCTATTTTTATTTTAATTTTCCGCCATATTAGATCCGCCATCTTGAATTTTAAAAAGTGCCACTTTGCTTTTCAAAATAGACGTAAATACCTAAAATTTGAGACCTAACTGAACTCTTTTCGCCCAAACCATTTTTGGGGGGAGCAATTCTCCCGTTGAGAAAGAATGCCCCATATATAAATATAACCGGCATGTAGTTACTTTCACAATGCATATAATGTATTCGTCAATACCACCGTAATTATCCATAATTACGGCATAATATAGTTTATGATTGGTCCATGGCACCATTTCGTCATTAATCTTGAGCAAGGTTAAAAATCGACATTCCATTATATGTAATTTCAAATCATCAATTCCTCGATATTTATGTTTATAGATTTTAATTAACAATTGATTATTATTTCATTTACCTATTGTCATTTCTTTAGACAACTTATAGTGCATCAACATAACATATGGAAAAGAAATTTTACAACAATCAATTTACACTAAAACTGATAAAATTTTATACCATTAATACCCCCAACACGTGAGAATAAGCAAATTTACTATATTGGGATCTTAGAATTAGTTCTAGAAATAATTTTAAACGTTGACAATTTTTTTGCAAAAAAATTATTTAAACAATTTAATATAAACAAATTATTAAAACAAATTGTTTGTAACAAATTATTAAAACAGTTTAATATAAACAAATTATTTAAACAAGTTAATATAAATAAATTATTTAAACAAATTGTTTATAACAAATTATTTAAACAATTCGTTGATTATTCAAACAATTAGTTATAAACACATTGTTATAAACAAATTACTTACACAATTTGTTCAATTGGTTCACAATTGGTTACTTATTCATACAATTAATTATAAACAAATTGAATAATTATTCAATTATTATTTATTATTATTAGTTATAAACAAATTGGTTAATTATTCGAACAATTAGTTATAAAAAATAGGTTAATTTTTCAAACAATTATTTATAAACAAATTGGTTAATTTTTCAAATAATTAGTTATAAACAAATTGGTTAATTATTCGAACAATTAGTTATAATCAAATTGGTTAATTATTCAAACAATTAGTTATAAACAAATTGGTCAATTATTCAAACAATTAGTTATAAACAAATTAGTACATTATTAAAATAATTTACCATATTA